TTGTGTATTTCCTAGCTGACTAAGGAAACTAGTTGACCTGGCACTGCTTCATTGCCACCTTCAAATTTTGGTGCGAATGCCGCGCATGCGACACCATCTACAACGCCTCTAAGCACCTATTTAGATGTACCATTGTAATATTACGTCAGAGTGTGTCAAAGCAACGACCCTCAAATCTGCTTCTTCTAGCTACCAATTTCAGATGGTGGATCGTCTTTGGACACCTAACGTGTGTTTCGTAAACTCCAAGAAAACAGAGATCCATTCCTCACCGACACCGAATATTTTTCTTATGGTCTACCCTAATGGAACTGTTTGGGTAAATTTAGAGTATTTTTCCACCTTTTCATTCATCTGCTACTTAGCTGCTCATTTAATTTCTATTCATAATTAACTTCATTAGCATAGTTAATTCATCATAAAGGTGACAAAGAGAAAGGATAAAGTCTCCGCAATGACAAAACCTTTGTGGGATGCGGCACGCATTCTACTTCCATTCAGAATCGTAGTGGCTTATTGAATGCGATGTGGCCTATACAATGACTTGCAGGGGCCAGCCGATGTACAAGTCAGTGTTCTTCAACACAACTGAGTTATAGCTTTCAAAGTTGGGAAAAATGGTGAAATTAGTCGTTGTTGACTATGCTCTGAAAAACTGGTTAAAATGGTCATCAGATGGTTTGCGAGACTGGTGATGAATTAAGAGGGCGAAAGAGTAGACTGAAGGACTGTTCCCGTCTCCAGAGGCCCAAAATGGAAATCTGAACGGTTTTCAGGGAAAGCTGATGACCTACTTACCAAAATTCGACGGGCACACCTTTTAGACTCGCCACGCAGAGGCGAATCTAAATATATCTGTTGCTTCTCCCATCAGCCTTTCCGAAAGGAGTTATGGCAGTGCGGCGCTTTGGATCGGTCTGCGGCGGATCAATCGCCTTTTTTTACAAAATTAGCAGGCGTATCGTGGTGACTGAGCTAGCCCCATGTACAAGCCAGTGTTTTCTATCCTCAAGGGGGAATCTGGCCCATTGCGTCGTAGTTAGTAGAAGGCTTGGTTGCGTCGAAGCTTGGAGACCAGATTGATGAACATGCACTAGTCAGTACACCCGCCTCCGCCTTATCCTATGAGTAACACTATGTCTATGGACTATATCCAGTGTAGAGGTAGCGTATAGCCCCATACAGACTCTCGGTTATGTCCAAAGCCCTAGGCCGGTTCTGTCCCTGCGGTTATCCTCGAGCCGGGAACTAGAGCTGCTGAAAATGCACCTGAAATAGCTCCTTGGCCTGTGGCCAGATTCTTGTGTAGGCCAAATGGCATTTTTCCTGGCTTTCTGAAAAAATGCCAGTTCATTCAGATGGCACAGATTTTAACACCTGCGAGAGCGCTTGTGTCCACGCATCTGATACTGGTGTGCATCATTGGCGGCACCGGTGTGTCGCGGAAGTGTCTATCTAGGTGTGGGTCGCTTACATCACGATTGCGGGGGGACGGGGACGGTAGAAACTAGTGGGCAAGTATTTCCTTAGCGTTTGTTAATACTAATATGAGGATGACCAAGCTGTTCATCCCATATAGATATATGGATGATTTGCTTGTTGTTCACAACCAAACTGATGATGATGTGGATGAACTACTTTCTCAAGTTTATCAAAATACCCTTCAGTTGAAAAAAACTCATAGGAGTGAGGTTTCTAGTGATTATTTAGATTTAACAATTAATATCATTAACGGTAAAATTAGTACCAAGCTGTATAATAAAACGGATGATTTTACCTTCAGTGTTATCAGATTTCTTCCAGAAATAATAAAAAAAAAAAGGGACACAATAATCTTCTTATCAACAAATCCATCTGTACTATACTATACGGCGAAACTTTGAGGTACGAAACAACTTTGTTCGTTCTGTTTTCACCTTTTGTTAGCAAAATAACGGATATGGTCACCACTCTCTTGAAAAATGGCTACGAGGAAGATTTTATTACTACTAGCATTGTTAAGTGTATTTATAAAAATAAATTTATAAGTTACAAGTACTCAATCGCAAATAACTATAGAAAGATAAATAGACTAGTCACAGGTTTACTCATTTGCAGCAGTGATCAACACTAATTCCCTTCTTTCCACTATACTTTAATTGATTTATTTCTTGTATACCTTCTCTTATACTCAACATTCTCTCAGTGGTTTTGCCGGCTTACTCCTTTTCCCTTCCTTCCACTCGTATTTACAGCCATCACTTTCGTGTTATACTCAAGGCATGCCTATCCTAATTATGTATAATTTTTCATTCATATGTGTACTTCATCTCATCTGATTCCATAACTTGCATGTTCAACACTTTTTTTATCAATGCTCTCGCTTTTGTCCTATTCTCATCAACCTCCCCTATGTAGTCTATGTGCTTCCTACTTATCAGCTGCTCCATTGGTACTGTGTCTTCCTACCCAATTTTAAATCGCGACAACCCGCACTGATGAGCTCGGGGGTTGGCTAGACAATGATGATTCGTCTGCGATACCGAGCGAAACGGATCATCTGTGTTGTGGAGTGTATTCCTTTCCCATGTTTGTTTTTCTTTGCTTCTAATTGACTCTCAGGCTAGTTGCAATACTCCTATTAAAATCACTTGCGTCTCCTTGTCACCTGCGACTATAATGATGCACGTAGCAATTGGCTTGCGCGCCAGCATGTCCCAACTTGTACTGCCGCTGATCGGCTTGCCGCTGCGTCTCGGCATCTCAGGTCCGTGACACCCACTCCATGAGCGTGTGGTGGCGATTGTCAATGCCAGTTTTCGTCCTCTACAACTCTTAATTTGTCGCACGCTTCAGCTAAATAATTCTGGCGCCATAGCCTAACACGCCATTCTTACTGTTTCGCAACAAGTGCCGAAGGTACAAGAACTATGGATGAAAAATTCCAGCATAGGAGGGGCGCGAGAGGGACATGATCGGTGGGCCCTATCTGACCTTGAAATCTCACGATAAACGGCATCGTTTGAACTGATAGACGGCTTTTCACGCTATTGAGCGTTGACTCCATAAGGCTCTTCTTACGGCTGATGTTTTAAACTTGATTTTTGGTTCGACTTTTTATGATAATTGACATGAATTTCTGGCATTCAGGTGAATTATCGTCTGCAGGTGCAGAGCCCATGCATGGTTGATTTGGTATTGTTCCCAATGGATGTTATGGTGAATAATCGAGCAAGCTTTGATTACTCTTAATGATACTCAATCTAACTAAATCATGCCCCTCCTTTTTCAGACGTGTGAATTAGTGATTGAAAGCTATGCATACAATGCGGCCAAAGTGGCATTGAACTGGAGAGAGTGGAGTCCAGTGCGTTTTACAGTTTTTTGAAAAAAATTACATAGCCTTGCAACACAAGAATGTCGTTTCTTGAAGACAAACTGTACTCTTAGCCTCCGAGGGCGGTCCTTGCAGTGAACTAGACCAGGTCCCAATCTGCTGTAGCGTACCAATTTCTCCGCTAAAAAGTGCACGGGAACAGGGCTGGTAGGTTTGTTGTACCAGAGTGCCTTCTACATACTCCGCCTATACTCGAGGTGCAGCACTTGCTCAACCAAGGTTCCCACTCAGCGGCCTAGAACAACCAGAAGCAAGAGAGTGGATGCAACTAGCTTGATGGCTATGGCTAGGCGCCTGGTTGACCGTGAGGCCGCGCGAGCAGAGTATGAGCACCGCTTATCCCTTACAAGCCCGTTCCGCGCACTTCTGACCGGAAAAATTGGCAAGCTACTGTAGCTGCGGAATCATTCTCATCACGGCAAGGATCAGGATCCACGGAGGTGAGTGCATAGTTTGTCTTTAGGCCATTCCTCAGGTCTACGAAAACAATCCACCAAGTACCATACCACTACGGAGAACGAAATGTCCTTAAAGGCAGTTGGCACGATGGTTTCCTACTTAGCCTAAAATGCTAGTAGGGCGCTGTATAGTGGGGAAATGGCGAAAGAACGGAGTGAAACGGTCAAAATCCTGCGAAGAAAAAGCCTCCGTTCTCAGTGACTTGTAAATCGATTTCGGACGAGTTTCCGTAGGCATCTTACCAATCACCGCTACCGAAGATACGGCTGCATATGTGTACCCATGTATGCATGCAGCATCACGGCCGCTTCATACCAATCCCTTCGCTTCATAATTTGCTTAGCAAATGAATGAATACGAGCGTCAGGAACGGTCGTCCATTTGTGGGCGGGCGGGCGTTTGGGACGTAATGTTGTGGCTTGATAGGGCCCTTATAAGGGCACCTTCCTCGGGAAAACCGCTATGCAGCGCCTGCCCAGGGTCGCGGAATTCTATCCTGCCAGGAGTATTGATCCTAGTCGCTTTGGGGATTTATCGTGCCAACTGCCTTTAAGGCTGCGTTCATACTTTATACTCAGCGTCCACCTGCGACCAATAGCAACCACAAGCTTTCCAGAGCGTCCGGCAGAGTCCAGGCGACCGAGAAAAATGATATCGATTTAGCTCTGCAGGATTGCCGGGCAGTCCTCTAGCGTTTAACGCAGGCATCTCAGTAGCTTGGAAGTATAGGTATCGATCTGGCGTCTTCCAGCGTGCACCAGCGTCTACCAGCGTCCGCAAGAGGAGAATATAGCGCGATAGGACGGTAGCACACAGTTGGAAACCCTCATATCGCGCCATACTCTCTAACAGCTGCCCGCTGCCTACCTATCTCCCATACTTTGCCACAACTGTCTGCTACCGGCTGGTGGACGCTGTGCCGCAAAATATGAACGCAGTTAGAGGAAGGCTTTGTTCCGGGAGCCATGTGAATTGGTGCAAATATCATGGAAGGCCACTGAATGATTTTTTTATTTATTTCTCAATGATCGGTGGGTTGCTAGCATCAAACTCACCATGTTTTTTGGTCAGCTGGTGTTGACTTTTTTTCGTATGATATTCATCGGATAATTTTTCGCGGGACCTTCGAGACTGAAACAGCACTTTCTATCAAGATTTTTGTTCCTTGAGAAAAATAGGGAAACTCTGATGCACAATGAAACTCAGAGATCTTCAATGTTATTCTGAATCGGAGAAAGCGCTGATTACAAATACAATGAGACAAATTTCAGGTTTTTTCTATAGCCAAGTCTAAATTGGCCGATTTCACCCTATACGGTATGCAGTGGACGAAAAACAACTTTGAATACGCAGCAGGTCAATGGGATCAGGTGAATCCAGTGCTTTTTGTTCGCTGCACTGGGGGTTGCGGGAAGAAAAATACTCTCGAAAAATTCCGAAGATTTGACAAAACTTGGAGTTTCTGCTCCAGAAAATTATCGGAAAATACCGAGTTTCTCGAAAGCCTCAACTGTGAGGTACACTCGAAATCCTGAGACGGGGTAGGCGTGGCTGCGGACTTGAACTGAACGTGGCGGCAGCTAGGCTTTTCGTGAGATATTTTCATTTTTGGGTAGTTGTAATCATGCCTTTGTCCAGCTCAGAACAAGTTAACAGTTGTCTCAGGTTGAAAGAACGCACAAGTAACCCATCCTATACCATGTTCAAGTGCCCCGCCTACCCCGTCTTAGGGATAAGGAGTGTATATCGCACTTGTTTGTTGTTTTTCGGTCATGAAATGAATACCATTACAGCTGACAGTATCGCTGACGTTCTCTCGTGCTTACGGGTTTTATCTACTACAAATGTACTTACCTACTTATTGCTCTGTACTATTATCATTCGTCTCGTTTTGGATCGACCTGAAAGCGCTACCAGCTCGAATAACGCTCGGTGTATCGTCATTGATGGCGCTTACCTTCCAGGTTTCTTTTAAGAACACTTGAACAATGAAAAAACGCTGCTGCAATTGGGGTGAGCAGACGAGAAGGGACCGTGTGCACACTGGCCCCTACGATCTTCTCAGGATGTTTCCGGGAGACAAAGGGATCGGGACGTAGATTCGAGAGCAGACTCAGTCCTTTCCGCTCCCTGTCCACACCCCCCTATACTAAAAACTACTAAAAAATTAATAGTTACAAAAAGGTGACACTTCAGCACTGCCGGGGTGGCGAAGGAGCCGTTGCAAATAAGGTTATCTGTATGGCATCGGCGCCAGGGCCCAGAAGTTAAAGACAAACTGGGCACCCGCACCCGAGGAGACCACGGATTTAGCTCGCAGCAAGGATTTGGCTTGCCACTTGACAAGACCCCGGTCCTGCAAGGATCTCGTTGCCTTGCCACGTAATCAGACGGCACAGCTGCAGAGTGCGTGGCTACTTTACCGTTAATAGTGCAAGGAAACAGATTACGGTGGTATTCGATACAGGTGTCCTTCCCTACATCTGCAGGGTACGCTTGCGCTCCTGTACTGAGCCAGCTAGTGCGAGGGAATGTGACGGCAACTTGGGACAACCTTACCCGATTCACTGATAGCGTCACGCCTGCTAAACTCTCCGACAAGAAACATTTTGAACGCCAGTGGTAAGGTGTACACTTTTACTCAGCGAGGATATCAGATCTGGTCTGAACGGCAATCTTGTGGCGCGTGCGAAAGGGTTACAGCGTCCCAGGCACGGGGCCAAAACTTAGCATTCCCTTACCAACAAACCACTTTGAGACTAATCGATTATTGATTTCTATTACAGTATGGAAATGTTGCGCGGTCATTGCCCAAAGTTGGCTATGTCAAATCAATCGATGTTTACATGGTAATGAGTACGGGGTACGTAAATCAAAGCTACTTTTGTTATCGGTCCCGACCAATATTTCTAACAATTGGTTCAATTTTCAGTTTTATATTTTTTACAATGATTGAAGTGGCCTTCATTTGTTATTTGGAATCCGAGAATAATTCGAAGAAGAAAAGGAGACAAAAACAGAAGAAGGAAGAAAGATTGAACAGCATAAATAGGTACTGTATTTTCATATTTATGAAATAAAATGAAAAAATGAGATCGAAATAGAGAGGTAATGGATGAATGCAGCCTGTATCTTCAGAAGGGACGTTCAGGCAATCGGAGCGTTTTCTCCTCTCCTGCACGCATGGACAGAAGGCACATCGTGCCGTCTGGGAAAAGTTTCACGGAGGTCGTGGGAAGCCACAACAGCGCTAGCACTTTTTCGCTCTTGGATATGGGCGGTAATCAAATGCAAGTTCACTGGGAAGGGAAAAGTTGATACCGCGCGCAGCCACAACGAGATCACCAAACTCCTCTGCATTCCCGGATCTTTTATTTTGTGTGAAAAGCTGGAATGCAAGGAATAACTGTGGTCATGAACGCCATGCAGATGAGAGAGTACAGAGAAACAGCAACG